TATTACGTAATGTTAATGTCACGTGACTTGCGACGATGATGCGCGAAAGTTGCATAATCATGGCTAAAAGGAAGGGTGGTTAGTGACTCATCTTGTAATCTCACATAACTGAACATGGTGGTAAGTGACCATTATGTTATTAACGACTAACATTCCTTTTACAAATCTCTGATATTTTTTAATCAAAAAAATTATGACGTTAAGATTTTTTTCTATTTGACGTTTTGATTGCTGCAAGCATCATTTTCAAGACTGACAAAGCAATGTATTCTAGTTTACTCTAATCAATTCGAAAAGTCGAGTAAAAGAAATCTTGTCGTCATTAACTTTGCGATTAAATCGTTTAAAATGAAATGCTTAGTTCTAATATTTTTGGAACAGAATCAAGACGAAATCTTGGATAAAGTCAAACAATACGATAAGATACTCGCAGATGACGTAGAACTCAAGTAAGTGTGCAAGATTCTTGGCTTTAGAAAGTGTGTGACTCGAGTACCCGTCCGCGCTGCTGAAAAGTGAACGTAGCCGTTTCTAACCCTGCACAGGAAGATTACCAGATTGCGTTAAAAAATTATTTTTTTCGTTGATATCACAGCACAAAATTAAAAACCGTGGAGCTAGAAAGAGACAGGTTATCACGCGAAGTCAAGAAGGTTTGTTGATACAATTATCATTTATATTCCGAAGTACCCAGGAATAGTTTTGGGTAGATAAATGGGTTGAGGTGGTGAGAAAAACAAAATAGAAAAATTTGGGGGCTAAATTATTTACTTTTTTTAGGGTTCGTCCGATGTGCATTCTGGTATATTTTAGGTACTAAAAACACTACATGGGGTATGGCGAACACAAGATTTTTATACCCAATGTAGACCTGAATGCACTTTGTTTGTCGAACTTGAAAAAGGCCTTTTCTCAGGAAGGAAAACTAGATAACACATAGAAACCCCTCGAAGCTCGGGAGAAAACCAACAAACGACATGGTGGCACGGGTGGCGTAGTGGTTAACATCTCGCCTCTCACCACTGTGGTCCGAGTTCGAGCCCTGGCTCAGACTGGATCATAAGTGAGTTAAGTTTGTTTGATGTGTTGTTCTCTCCCTTGTCACGAGGGTTTTCTCCGGGATCTTCGGTTTCCTCCCTCCGTAAAAAGAAAACTGTGAGTTGAGTGTTGTATGTTGTAAATATAGAATGTAGTGGTAGTGGGTGTGGAGGGAACCTCACGGAAGAGCCTCGTATGGGGAGTGGTGGTTAAGCTTAACTCTTCTCATATATCATTGTAAGCTTGGGTGTGAAACCATGACAACAGTGGCGAGAGGGGCGCATTAGTATCGCATACCACCCATGCTGGTGCTACGGTTCTACTTTTTCTTCGACGTTCTAAATGGCAGTGTTCATTTATTTTAGCTTCAAAAAGAACTTGAGGCGTTTGACCCGGCATTCTTTGA